CATGTTAGTTATCTAGTTTTTATTGTCTTGTAGAGTCACTTGTCTATAGTTGTATAAAGGATTATAATGATGAAAGGATGAAAAAGGTAGTGAACAGCTCTAAAATGAACTTGTTCTCAGTTGGTAATTAATATTGATTTGTTTAACAAATCAATAAGGATTCAACTAACTACCGAGGAACTATGTACTTGCAAATGGAGTAAGGTAAGGCAAGCTTAGCTCGCAGGCTGTCTCGAGAGACTGCGCTCTTTTACTAGGCCAAAGCGGTTTTTAAAGGTTAAGTGAGAGCGCTGCCAGCAAACTGAGGGCGCTACCTACAAAGTGAGGGCGCTGTAGCTAGTATATGGAAGGGATAGCTCAAACGAAAGAGTGGGGGTGAGCCGACTGTAGCACCATCTAACTTATTAATTTAGTATTAAAGGGTTTATATAGATCTTCAGAATAAAAATATAGTCATTATTGCTTTGAGATACGATTCAGCTCACATATCATAGAGAATAATTGGATTTATACTCTAAGATGGACTATATTTTAGATATACAAGGCTTTCAGAGTCCTAATAATATTTTTATTTGTAAGGAGTTTGCCTATTTACCAGTATGTTCTAATACTTCACCTACAGTACTATTTTTTAAGCCTCCATCTCATTGGCTCAAACTGCCTATTGAATATGAAAGTGTTAATAAGTGGTTGGAATTACATAATCATGGTATTTATTTTTATTATCGTTAATTAACATTGATTTTATTTGAAATATTTAATATAATCAATTTTATAGGTATATTATGGAGAAATGGTTTTTTACCATATTTTTTAAATTATACTATTCGTAGTCATTTACATAATTGTAGAAATATTTATGTGAAAGGATTACAAAAGAAGCAATGGCTCAAAAAAATTATTCCTGAAAAGTAGGTTCAAATAATATACAATAGTATAAAATTCTAAATTTGAATTTAATTAGTTTTTTTTTTTAATTACAGAAATATTTTAGATATCGAAACTGAAATAAGATGTCCGCGATTGGAAGATTTAAGTCTTAAATTTAAACCATCATGCATATACCATAGTCAAAATCGCGAGAATATAGTATGTGCTGCGGTAAATACACAAAAGATACACGATTGGTTGATGGAAAGACAAAAACAAGCAAAATCAAAAGGGATCGACACAGTCGAAAGATTTACAGATGACTATAATTCATATAAAAATTCAACTGAATATTTAAAAATAGCTATGTCAGACACTGAACATAAAGATTATAGACAAAGTGTAGTCTACTCAATGTATAATTAAAAATAATAAATATTAAATAAATAATAAAATGTGTACTTGTTTAAATAGTAAAATAATCATAACGATTTCAAGAAAGGGCGAACGGATGGGAATAAGGTTCTCTCCTAGCAGAGATGTTTAGGAGGAACATCTCAAGGAGGCGTCAGTCGAGCGACTGCATTCGTAGTCTCTAGCATTCTCACGAAAACAGTTCCCTTCGTGGAGAGAGCACGCATTGATTATAGACAGCATACGCTCCCCTCCACGCACCATGGTCCACGCTTAGCTAGAGCGTAGGAGAGAGAGAGCTCATGTTTACTACTACTATAGTAGCACATCCCCATCAGACTAGAACTATAGACAGCACGCTCTCCCTCCTCCTCCGCACGCTCAGGCCCAAAACCAAATGTATGCGTGTGTAGCTAATATACACAATAGGCATCTTCTAAGGTACATGTGGCATTGGCTCTAGTGGTAGAGCGCTAGCCTGCCAACCCACAGGACTCCGGTTCGATTCTCCGGTCTGTCTCTTCATTTTTTTCAAAAATCATCGCTATTTTTTACTCGTTTCATTTTCAATAAAGCAAGTAAATTGTCAATAATATATATTTATAACTTTTTAAAAAATATATTTAAATTTAATTAGACCGAAAGCACTAGGTATAGGGTCGCTAGGGACTAGGAGCCCTAGAAACATTCCTCAAAAAATTATAAACATTTATTAACATTAATAATAATTAACATTGAAGCGTTAGGCCAGGGAATCAAAGGGTTCAACCAGGGACCCCCCACGAATATTGTTAATAATAATTGTTCCAGCACACCGGAAGTGTGCTGGAACATACATTGCTATACTACTCGTTACGCTCCTTTATATGGTCATGAAATTTGACTCTAGCACTAATACAATCATATAATATATGAGAAGGCGCCATTTAATATACTAATTGATATATGTAGATTCATGAGTTTAGTGGATTGCAGTAATACAGTGAAAATAAGAGAATAGTCTAAGATCTCATAGATAGGACTATTACATACAAAACAAGTTTTTTAATAGAACGGACGAGCGGTGGTCGAAATTTTTCCGAAACATAAAATAATATAGAAACTGAAAAGGTTTACAACACGCTAGCGTGCCTGTATATAATTGTCTGCGCCAAACATGGGACCGCATTGATTTTTCTAACTTTTTGTCCGTTGCCTTTCCACTCGCTAATCGCTGATACCCGTTAATACTGATACTCATTAATACTGACTCTTTAATACTGATATACCTAATCGAACTGATACCCTTTCATTAAATGAATAAGCTACTATTTGCCTAGTCTGTTCTACTGAATGCTGAAATTTGACTTACTTTCGAGTAGTTAAGTTTCTGGCTAATTGGCTCTGTAGTCAGCTTTTCAGTCTTTCTAGTCAGTGTGGGTTGATGTTAGCTTCCCTTAGTGGCTGATTTTGGTACTAGCAAAGGATGTTCTCCTCCCTCTATGATGCTCAGTCCAGTAACCCGCAGCTTAGCAGTGAGCTACAGCATTCGAGATACCTGTGATTTTTTTATTTTTTGAAATATAAACATTGTATCATGTAAGTGAGATTTTTATTTTATATTTTCATTGATGTTCTCAAACTGTTTTAATATTACATCATTACAGACAATGAATAATAATAAACATTCTACAACAATGGAAGTTGAACAAGTTCTGGAAGATGTACTACTTCTAAATAATAGTAATAAGCTTTACTTTATTATATTTTTACTAATTTTAATAAATTTTAATTTTAATTTTTTTACTGTTTTTCTAGTTAATCCGACTTTGGTGAAATTAATTATAATGTAGATGCAGAGGAAATTAAATGAATTAGCTGAAATAAATAAGATGAACAGCTTGAAATAGAGATGTTGAAAGAAGCAATGAAAAATGATAAAGTGTTGTCTCCACCTACAATCAACGAAAAACAAGAATCTACAAAAGCAGACAATGAAAATGTCACAATGAAGTTGAAAGAAGATGTCGAAATCTTGACCTAGAAGGAGTATCAACAAAAACATCAGTTGCCATAGATTCCAATTAATAGCATATTTTCAATTTATATAATTGATAAAAGATAAAAATATATAAAAAATTGTATTAAATTTATAGATAGAAGAAAACGTGGGGGAAACATACAGAAAAGAAAGCTCTGTCGACAACGCTATTCAAACTACCAATATTCTGCGAGACATCTAAATAACTCGATAAGGAACGTCGCAGCTTTTACAGTTGCTATGGCTAATGCTGCTGCTGCTGAGAGAACCACCAAGCCAAGAGAAGGCTTTCAAAAAAAATATAAAAAATAACTGTAAACTAGTTGTAAAATAAAAAATAAATATGTTTTGTTAAGGTAGTGTGTACACGCCTCAAACATTGTTTTGATTGAGATTTATTAAGTTATTTTTTGTTTGAATGTACCATTGACTAAAAGCATACAATTTCATTTCAAATTGATCACATCATTATTTCATTTGCCATAAATGTCTAAATATTAGTAAACGTAACTTGGTTTGATAATTCATGCCAAATAATTTAATTTTCTTTGAGATAGACAGACTTATTTTCAATGTGAATAAGACATTGACTAAAAGCATACAATCTGATTTCACATTGGTTTACATAATTAAAAATGATCATATTTGCTGTGAATTATCAATCCAAGTTTTCATGTTACGTATACTAATTATTTTTTGAGTTATCATTGATTACATGGTCGAATAAAAAATTATCTTGAATAGTTTTAGTGTCTCTATGGTGTACTTATTGAAAAATTGATTCCTGGAGCTAATGAGATAATGAGTTGCCGTAAAATTATTTAATGATATTCCCAAATAAAATTGTTTTGACTTAGATTTATTATGCTATTTTTTTATGTAAATTTACCATTGATTAAAAACATATAATTTAATTTCAAAATTGATCACATCGTTATCCCATTTGCCATAAATGGCTAAATCAAGTTATTTTTTATGAATTATCATTGAAAATTATTGCTATTATAACATAATAAAAAATTAGAATATATATTAAAACTCAATGAAATATCTTAGATTTGACCACAGAATACCCTTAAATTTTTTCAGAGGTAAAATAAAATTTTTCTGAATATTTCAATTGTTTTACCTTTTTTTAAAAATAAAATTCTTTTTTAAAAATTCTGAAAAAAATTTAAGGGTATTCTTCGACTAATTTTAAGATATGTTTTTTCTTACGAGGTCTGTCTCAAAAGTATCCGATCTACCTCGATTTCTCGGCGCTTGATTTAATGTTCGTCGTCCGGAGAGTAGCATCCTTTAAAGTAGTTGTATTTAATAAGACGCTCATATAGATGTTTCCACTTATTGAAATATTCTTGAAAGTCAGACTTCGAAATCGCCTTTAGTGCATTTGTTGTATTAGTTTTAACAATCTCTTTATCGTCGATTCGATGTCCCTTAAGTGGAATTTTCAATCGAGGAAACAGTCAGAAGTCGCAGGGAGCTATATCGAAATTTTTTTAGTTTAATAACGTACAAAATAAACCATTTGGAAACTTACTAATAATCTATATTTTTTGGATGTTAATTAGTTAATGCACTTTTTGTAGATTCTATAATTTCAATTTCTTATGACAGCATATTATATAAATATTATATAATATTATATTATAAAACAATTCAATAAATAAATTATTCTACTTTTGTTTTTCAGATGGCAACCGTCACAAGCTGATGCTGCTGTTTTCCAAGCCTTAGGAACAATACAAATTGTAAATGCACACGTGTTACGATGGTATAATCATATAAAATCTTATGATCATGCAACCTTACCGGGAAGTAAGAACTATGTAGTTACCTCTGAACAACATACCGAAGATATTGATTTATTTGGTTCTGACGAAGAAGAGGATATTGAAGCCGCAAAAATTCGAGAAGAACGGCTAAAAGCTTATACTGAAAAAAAATCAAAGAAACCTACTTTGGTTGCTAAATCAAGTATTGTAATCGATGTTAAACCATGGGATGATGAAACTAATATGGACGAGATGGAGAAAGTAGTTAGATCCATCGAAGTGGAAGGACTTATTTGGGGTGCTTGTAAGTTAGTCCTACAATTTCATTTCATAAGCCGTATAAAAATCTTTACATTTAATTTTTTTAATAATGATTATAGCTAAGCTCGTTCCGGTTGGCTATGGAATAAAGAAATTGCAGATAATGTGTGTAGTAGAGGATGAAAAAGTTTCTGTTGATTCCCTTGTTGAACAAATTCAAGAATTTGAAGACTTAGTACAGTCTGTGGATATTGCAGCTTTTAATAAGATTTAAAAAGTATTTTTCATATATTGTTTGTCACTATTAATAAAAGAAAGAACATTCTGTCTAAAATCATGTTATCATTTTTGAACAATATAGATCGATCATAAATTAGAATAAAAATATATAACACGGACTATTCACCCAAGAGCTAAACACAAAGCCGTACATAGTGAAATGTTAATGATTCCGTCAATTAACCAAACCCATTAACGCCGAAATGTAGCGATTATGAGAGTTAAGTTTGAACTGTTGCTCTGAAAAACAAGATGTATGAAAAATTTTGAAAGTATAGTAGTTTATGTTTCTGAGAGTGCTTTTTCTAATGACGGCAGTTAAAATTTCTAAAAAATAACTTTTTGTCATAAAAAATTGGAAAAATATACAAAAAAAAGCGGATTTTTTTACAATTTTTGTTTAAAACTCAAATTTCGACTCCTATTCGGTTAACTATATGCCTAAAACCTATTAAAATTGTGGTATTGGGGTCAGAATTTGAACACAATATGATTGATAAAGTTGGAAAATTTTTCATAAAAATAAAATAGCGGCTGAAGTGAAATAATTTTTTATAAAACTTCATGATTTTTTTTCTCGAAAACTATAGATTTTTAAGAAAAATGTTATAGAATAAAAAGTCTTAGAATCAACCAATTAATGCACTTAAATTTTTTCAATACAATTACAAAAATTTTTAATTTATAGGAAACAAAAAATAAAAAATTTGGAAAAAAATTTTTTTTAAAGCTAAGAACATGTAGAGACATTGATGCATTACTTCTAAGATATTTTTATTCTAACATATTTTCTCTAATGTCTATCCTCTTTCAGAAAAATCGATATTTCTCATCTGACTGCATATATCTTGATATATTCATAATTTATGAAGACTTTACTAATATATATTTAAGTTACATACTTACAGTAATTTTTTAACAGTATTAAGATGAAACACTTTCATCAAGCATATTTTAGCATTTATTTTTTTACGTAAATATTATAACGGCATTGCTCAAGCGACCGTTCCCTTTCCGGCTAGCTTGTGGCCGTCTGTACAAATTGTTTAAAGAAGAGGATTCGGAAAACATGAAAGTTACGACGACTAACAAGTAAGTGATTCGCCAAGCTAAATGGATCAAAACGAGTGTTATTAAATTTTCGGAATGAGGAGTGATAAGTCGAAATAACGAAACTCGAATAAACAATAAACAAAGTTAATCAATAATAATAAACTTAATCGAATAATGTGATGAAATCTATTGTTCTAAGGCTAACGACAGTGATAAGAAAGTTGAATCTTTTAGAAGTTTTGATACTTATGAAAAAATATTGAATAACTTTTCCTTGATAGAAGCAAAGAAAACAATCACATTTTTAAATAGCAGTAGGGCGAATATCCATTCAATGATATTTTAACAAATTAAATTTTGCTCCCTGACAAAATAAAAAGTCAGTTATCATCTTGTTCTTATACAGAATTATTTGAATTATTTTTCTCTACCAAATTAGAAGAGTATATTCTTTCTTGTACTATAGATAATGATTATGATATTTCTTTAAATAAATTAGAAACATTCTTTGGGGAAATTACGACCACTATTGTTAATAGAAGACTATTTCAGAGATTAGTGGAGTACTTATTCTTTACTTAGTTCGCGAGAAATAGCATCAACAATGCCTCGAAATGAATTTGAAAAAATTAAGTCGTCGATAAAATACTCAACGTTTAATGATAAAAACGACAATAATAAAGTATGGCGTATTCAAAAAGTGCTAGATATATTTAGAAAAAATATCAAGTAATTTGAATTTTTTTCGACAGTTCCTTTGGTCAATGAAATGATGATTAAATATTTTAGGACAAATTCCCTCCAACAATTTTAAAATTAAAACCGATTAGATTTAGAATAAAGATATGAGTTTTTAGCAGTCCTGAAGGTTACTTGTTTGATTACGTCATTTGATTGACAAGAACAATGCACACACTTTTTCTACCTAACTATGCTTAGGGAAGTATGATGGTTCATCAAATGTTACAACAATTGCTTTTGAATACTGTTCCTAGAAAATATTTCAACATCATATTTATTTTGATAATCTTGTCACCAGTCCAGATTTATTAGTTCACATGAAAAGAATCGGTCTGATTATTAGAGCAACTGTAATGTCGGGAAAGAAGTTACTCAGTTTTCTCTCGAGTTTTTTTTTGCTTTGGTGCTCGTGGACCGTCAACCTAGAACAAGAAAAGTGTTGTTTGAAATAGATAGGCATTCCTAAGCTAAGATCATGAAAGAGTTGGTAGAGCTTGCAAATAAATTTCAAGATCCCAGCAAGAAAAAGGTAATGAGTCGGTAAAGCTTCTAAATAAATGACAAGATAACTATTACGTTTCCCAACAGGCTCTTAGTTACCATAGATGTAGCCAGAAGAGCTCGTATCACACGAAAATAGAAAGAGAAAGTATATAGAAACAGGAACATTTTTTTTTAAGAATGAACTTGTTTTCTTAAGGGTGTTGCCTAGTCGGCGGGGTAAAAAAATTGCTATTTTTTGGAATTTTTTTTTGAGTAGATTATGAAAGATATGGATATAAAAATACATAGGTATAATAAATTAGATCTTAAATTCCAAAAAAAAATTTTTTTTTATTCATTTTTTTCAAGTTTATTGTACGAAATACGTAGTTGAATATTGAGCGGTAATTTCAAGACAACTTAGTCGCAACATGATTTCTCAGCAACGGCTTATCTGAAACAAAAAAATCAAAGTGTTTTAGATTTGGTATGATAATAGCTACAGAATGGACGATAATTATTAAGTTTGGGCTAATTTTGTGGATTTTACTTAATAAAATGTGAAAAGTTGAAAAAAACGGCTTTTTTTTGGCATTTTTTGGAAAAAAAATAGTAAAAATCAAAATTATAACTTGTATGTGGTCCACTTTGTGGATAATTATGTATAGAATATGTGGTCTAAATTTCAAAAGGATCGGTCCACTGGTTCCGGAGAAATCGTGTTGCAGGTCCGAAAAAACGTTGTTTTGAGAAAAAGGCGTTTATAAAGTTTTTTTAAACAAAAAATATAAGAAATATCTTACCAAAATTTAATCTGCAATGCCTGCACCGTATGAAGTACCTTCTGATTGATCGAAACCTTGATTTTTTTCCAATCTAGCCTTTTTTCTCGCTGTTCTAGACTCTTTGGAAGTATTCAAGCTGTGGCGATTTGCTTCTTGAACACGTGTGGAATCGTGATCAGCGATGTAATTCACAGAGCTCGGCCCGATTTTCAAACCCATTTCCTCCATGATTTTTAAAACTGGGTTGTATCCTTCGTTGTACTCGTACTTGAGCTTACAATCACGTCCACAATTTTTCCAGTGAATTTAAGGGCAAGAGAAATTACTCCTATCAAAGAGGAAAAACCTAGTTTTGCCCAAGAGCCGTCACCCGAAACAGATAAAACATCCTTGGGAAGTCCTTTTTCCTTATGCACTTCTTGTTCCTCGCTAACGGCTTTGCGCGTTACGATGTTGAAAATACTGTTTACTGCGGCGGTAATGTGATCGAGAATACAATAATAAGCATTTTTATGTAAACCTCTGCCCAACTCCATTAATCCACAAAATTTATTAATGCCTGTTAATCCAACACCAATCAATCGCATTACAAATACTATGCGACGATTAACTTCATACCCAGTTTTAATACGCGGGCACGAATCTATGAATTTTTTTCCACATTCACACGTTACACATAATCTGAATCCTAATCCTCGTATTCCAAATTTCGTAAACTTAACACTTTTACTACAATCTTTGCACACCAAAAATGTTGCCAGCATTGAAAACACAGTCAAAAAGTTAATAATAACGTACCCAGACATTGGATCTTCTTCAACGTCAAAACATGAATTGTCAGATTCCAATTTCTCAGCAGCTTTGCTTGTTGACTGCGTTGACTTTTTTTCAGTAGTATATTGATTTCTACTGAATCTCCGTTTCTTTCTTCTGCTCGGATTCTTATTTTTCGCTTGAGGTATGATGCTGAACTGTGGATACTGCTCGCACGAAGTCTGAGCGTAAACTGCTGTTACAATAGCAGCAGAGCTCTTTCCAAGGTACGTTATTGCTCCAAAAACTTAAAGGTATACGTTTATAAATCAACACAAAGATAAATTTACAATAGAATTCAGAGAATTGTATGACTCATACAGCATCAGCTGCCTAAATGAATAGAAAAGACACGTCAGAGGGGATTAGAGCAGAGGTCTGATCGGCGCGCTCCGCGCGCAGGTATACGAGCGGTCGGGTAGGGTCGTTTCGGTTGAAAAAAAATACACTTATACTGCTCCGATCTTTATAAAAATTTAACACAAATTTCTTACATACATATACATTCGAAAAATGTAAAAAAAAAAAAAATCGATTTTTTTCAAAGTACCCGACTAGACAACACCCTTAATCGATCCGTTCGCGATTCTGTTACTCGCGCGTTAATTCGAACCGCCAAATTATTTTGCACTGTGTTTCGCCGATTATAAAATTTTCTGGGACGATTTTACGTGCGTGAGTGCAACGATATTACCGTGGCAACAAGCAGCAGCATCGCAGAAGCAGAAAATTGTAGCGGATAAGAGAACGAGGTAGCGTAGCAGATTTAGTAGAGGAGCATCGGCAGTTGATTTTCTTCTTCAACAATTACAGCTGATCCCCGTAATTGCACCGCAGGGTAGGTGCACCTCCCTTTATTATTTCGTGACAAAATACATTCCAAGGTATTTTTCAACCACGATATCGAATCTTTTTTGTATTCGTGCCGAGCGTTAGTTTCGCGGTAATTTTCCAATCTTCTCTCTTTCTCTCTCACCGAATATTAATAATTCATTGTGAATCCTATTCGCGTGCGTTAGTCGTTCAGTCCATAAAAGACTGTAATTTTTATTAATTAAAGTTAGTTAAGTTTAGTCGCCGATTACGTCATTTCATTTCCTACTAGCTTAAGCGATTTATAAAGGCTTAGGTTTTAATCCGATTTTGTTTAGGGGATTAAGCAGATTAGGCATAAAGCCACTCACACCTAAGATACACCGAGTGTCACAAGTCAAGTGACTTAAGGTGAGTTCAACTCAGTTGGAAAGAAGACATTTAAACGAAATCATCTGACG